AGACGATGCTTGTTAGTGACAAGCATCGTCTTTTAAAAATCAAGTGGCCTTTTTTTTGTTCAGCGTGTTTTAAAAGACGACGCTTGTTAGTGACAAGCGTTGTCTTTTAAAAATAATCTAATGCTAGTAGTGTATAAGATGATATATCATGACGGTTTTAAAAACACCGTCGTCTTTTAAAACATAACGACGGTTTTAAGATGCACCGTCGTCTACTTTGTGTCGTGGGTTAACTATTTTGTAGTAGTGGCAATACTGTTCTTCTCTTAATTAATGCTCTTGATCATGCTAATTGGGGCATGGAATTCGTGTCAAGCCCTTAGCGTGATCTAAAGTCTCATGTGATTCATTAGAGCATGATCACAATCTCTATTATTGATCTAACTTGCTAATTTGGTCAAAGACTTTTGAGTCACATATTTTGAGCATTCTCCTCCTTTATTGAAGGTAGAGTTCACTTGTTGTACACTCCATGTCTCCATGAATTGATCATGAACCATATTTATATCTTTGGGTTTTGCACAGAGGAACACAACGCTTCAACATGGCCAAGGGCCCACGGCACTTCCATGAGACAATTTGTGGTGCCTCAGGTCAGGGACTAATTTGCACTATTCCAACTTGAGAGATCCTGATTAACATGTAGGTAAAACTTCCATTCAAGTTCTCTCCATTGATCGTGTTCAATGAATCCATTCTTTATTAAACACCCATACACTTATCTTAGTGTCTATACACGAATGACTCGAGACCAGTCATCCTCTTAATTGAGCAGATACTTGTGCATGATGGTCTTTGCAGATTATCAATGCCCAGTTGATTATCCAATGTCCATGAACTATTTATGATGTGGACATGGTACAGAAAGGTCTCCTGAATTTAACTTCTTTAAGTCACTTTCTTAGTCTCACGATCTACGGACTTATTGATTAAGTCAATGACTAAGATTATTACTCAAAACAACATAATACCCTTAATTAATTAGGTGAAATGTCCTTAGAGTTTACATCTCATGATTAGCTCTAGGGCATACTTCTAAGGAGCGGGTGAAATGACGATTCATAGTTCGAGCTTGTTGGATTGTGAAACTATGGTTATGTGAAGATGATGCCACAAGTAAGATCCCCACAGCCGAAATGGGAAGCATTCTTATCATAGATTTCAAGTCCTCGACGCGATGGACAGTGGCAAGCCTCCATAGGTTTGGTGGCCCAGATGAATTTGCCTCATCAATAGTAACTATAGCTGCTCTATCAAACCACCTTCAATTTATTTGATTAATTAATTAAGACAAATCAACAATAAGAAATACTAGTCTTATTTGATTTGGGGGGGAACTTTCTAACACCCACTCCACATTGTATTTTGATAATGTCAACCGTCTGTAGTTTAGGTACTCCCTCAAAGATCATCCCTGCAAAAGAATCACTCAAATCGGAAACCATTTAACCCCTCAATTAAATGATTGTCATTTTATAATTTTCTTAAAATATCGTGTTCATCGATATGGCATGGATGATGTTTGGTAGACTTGGACATCACTGTTGCTGTCGTAAGTGTTAAGTTTCTTTTATTATTTATATTTATTTTAAGGGTATCATCCCAGATTAACTTTCATTTCTTGTGCATATGTGTTCACTAGCGCAAGCATCTTCTTTTTTAAAAACATTTGCCATTACGGACTTTACAAATATGGATATTCTCTTCTTTCTTAGATTTTAGTATCCAAATTTTCAGTTTCTGCACTTGACAAACTCTCTTCTCATTAGAGCATCTCCACCCATAAGAGCATCTCCAGCGCAGGAGAAGAACCGGGCAAAAGGCCCCCCTTGCAAGCCCAAGCAGCTCCAGCGCTGCAGCCTGCAGCCTGGTTTGGCGTGGGTCCCACCAGCCCGGGCAAGCCCAAGGGCAGGTTTTGCCTGGGTTTTCTATTGCCACGTGGCGTCGTCTGGGCTCTCCGATCTGATTTTTTCCTCCAATCCAACGGCATCCAATTTTTTTGCAATAAAATACTGGAAAAAGTTTTTAAAAATACCCAAAAATTAATGAATTTTTTACTATAAATACCAGCCAATTTTTTTTTTTTTTAATTTATCTGAAATTTGAAATTGAAAATTTTATCCGATTATGAGATATGAATAGTATTGACATGTAGGAACCCGAAAATCTTATCCGAAAATATTATCCAAATTAATTATCGAGGTAAAAAAAGTTGTGAAAAAAATTTAAAAAATGAATAGTAATTGCCCTTTGCCATGGCAACGGGTGGAAAAAAAAATACTATTTGCAAGGGCAACTACTATTCACATGAATAGTGCCTGCCCTAGCTCGCCCCTTGCCATTTGTGGTTCCACCCATGAGGGCTAAGTCTAGGGCAAGTCTAAGGCAAATACTATTCATTGTACTTTATTTCCTTATTTATTTATTTATTTACTTTAAACCATTAATTTTGATAAGCTTTTCAGATAATATTTTCGGTTGCCATGTGTCACAATTTATTATAAAATTATCACCTCAAATTTCAAATAACATTTTCAGATAAAATTTTCTAATTAAATTTTCGGATAAAGATTTTTGGTTGCCATGTGTCCATATTTATTAAATTAAAATTTTCAAATAGAATTTTGTAGTAGAAAATTTGGTATGGAAAGTGAAAATTATTGAAAGGAGATGAATTTGTATAAAAATTTGGTGTGGATTTTTTCCTCCAATCCAACGGCAGCCAATTTTTTTGCAATAAAATACTGGAATTTTTTTTAAAAAATACCCAAAAATTAATGAATTTTTTTCTATAAATACCAGCCAATTTTTTTTTTAAATTTATTTGAAATTTGAAATTGAAAATTTTATCCGATTATGAGATATGAATAGTATTGACACGTAAATCTTATCCGAAAATATTATCCAAATTAATTATTGAGGTAAAAAAAGTTGTGAAAAAAATAAAAAAATGAATAGTAATTGCCCTTTGCCATGGCAACGGGTGGAAACAGAAAATACTATTTGCAAGGGCAACTACTATTCACGTGAATAGTGACTGCCCTAGCTCCCCCCTTGCCATGGCTAAGGGCAAATGGGTGGAGTTGCTCTAAGGGTTGAGTCTAGGGCAAGGGCAAGCAAGGGCTGCCATTATACACGTGAATAGTATCAGCCTTGCCATTTGTGGTTCCACCCATGAGGGCTAAGTCTAGGGCAAGTCTAAGGCAAATACTATTCATTGTACTTTATTTCCTTTTTTTTTTTTTTTTTTATACTTTAAACCATTAATTTTGATAAGCTTTTCAGATAATATTTCGGTTGCTACGTGTCACAATTTATTATAAAATTATCACCTCAAATTTCAGATAACATTTTCAGATAAAATTTTCTAATTAAATTTTCGGATAAAGATTTTTGGTTGCCACGTGTCCATATTTATTAAATTAAAATGTTCAAATAGAATTTTGTAGTAGAAAATTTGGTATGGAAAGTGAAAATTATTGAAAGGAGATGAATTTGTATAAAAATTTGGTGTGGAGAGTGAATAATATTGGTAGGTATTTATAGAAAAAATTTCCAGAATTTTTTGATATTTTTAAAAAATGTTTTGACATTTTTTTCAATTTTTTTTAGGCACTGACGTCAGCGGCTCGAGGGCAAGAGCCCAGTCAAGTTCTGCCTGTGGGCTTGCCCGGGCTGTGTTTTGTGCGCTAGAGGTCCAAACCTTGCTTTGGGGGGCCTGCTGCCAAGGCAAGTCCATAGCGCTGGACTTGCTCTTAGGCCATCCCCAATGGTTGGGGCTCTAAAAAGGGTTTATAGAGCCCCATTTAGAGCTCAAATGGAATCTTTGGGGCTCTAAAGGAATCCATCTCACAATGGGAGGCCCTATATTCATGACGGGCTCTATATTTTTTTATGATGTAATTTGATTTACGTGGTGTTTTTTTTTTGGTTAACTATTTTACTTTAATGTTTGTTCATGTTATGTTAGTTTTTTTTTTGGGTGAACATTTCAACAACAACAAAAATCAAAATTTGGACAAGATTTGGAAATCAACATTTTATTTCGTAGATATGATACAACATGGTTAAATTAAAACAAGATGCACAACATTAATTTTATATTTAAATTGTGTGTTTAGAATTCAATAACTAAATTGCAATGTTCTTGAATTCAATCATTTCATTAAGTTAAACAAACTAGAACATTTTTAAAATAATAAAACAAAGTACAATGGAATTTAAATAATAAAACAAAGTACAATGGAATTTAAATAATAAAACAAAGTACAATGGAATTTAAATAATAAAACATTTTTAAAATAACTAAATTGCATGCATGGAAATATGGCCGTTGCCTTTGAAAAAGTGGTATGACAATATGGCTGTTTACACAGTTTTTGAATAATTGATTTAGCATGCTGGGTCAGCTGCTGTTGACAAAATAAAAAAAATGGCAAGTAGGCTTTGTACAATTGCAAGGCAAGTGAGAGACTTGCAAAAAGTGGGCTGCAACTTTTTTCTTTGCGGGATCCACTTGGTTTCAAGGGCTTCAACCAAGAACATACATTTAGCTACTACTCCAGTTGAGAAGTTTTAGAGCCCCAAATTTGCACCATTAGAGATGCCTTTTTAAAGAGAGTTTGTATATATTGAAGCCTTGTGGTGGTTGAGCCCCAAATAGAGCCCCCATTGGGGATGGCCTTAAGAGTACACAGTTTTTGGTTCAATATTGGCAAAGAGTGTTGGTTTTTTTCTAGTTGTATGATTAGCAAAGATTGAGGGAAATAATAAGGCTTTGAAAATAGGATCCCCACCATATATATATATATATATTATAATTTTCTAGTTGTATGATTAGCAAAGAACATTTACATTTTTCAGGTTTTGCAAGCAACTTTACATTTTTACATCAGAACAACGACGATTTTACTCTTTACATATAAACGACGACAATGAAAAGCCGTTGTAGTTTGATACTCTGAAAAATGGCAGTCGATTTAACGATAGTATTCAAAGCATCACAATGACGGTGAATCCCCGTCGTCTATTTCGGCATGTGCAATACTTGTGTGAATTGACATCTCCTCCTCGGATGTGGGTTGAGAATCGGATTTATCCTTACTACTAGCCCACAATATGGCGTATAGTCCAACCACAATCAGCAGCCCTCCTAATATGCTGAGATAAGAGGAAGATGAATTAACGAAAGCCCAGAAAAAGTAGAGTAATTATAAACCAAGTCTCCAAGGCAACATACTAATTAAGTAACAAAGACAAGAAATTCCAAACAATGGCATGGTGGATTAAGAATTTAATAGATAAGTCATACCTTCCCATATGTAACTTCTCATCAAGTAGGAAAGAGCCTGCAAGTGCAACCATCACAAGCAGCACAGGCTGAAAAACCGAAGCGAAGAGTGGCCCTTCCTTCTTTACACCCCATGTCATTAGGGTCAGAGCAAGCCCTGAGATCAAGATTCCCTAAACAAAATCCAAATAGGAATATAGAAACTCAGATCTGGTTCCAACCAAAATTCAGGTATTTTTGAAAAAATATAATAAAAAAATTCAGGTATTCAAAGAAAACTTTTCGACACTAACATAAAAAATAAAAAATAAAAATTTATCTACCGAATATGAAGCCAAAAGTACCAACTTCCATTGCTTCCAGTCCCTCTCCACGCAGAGGGCGAAAATTACAAATTGAATTGATGCCATCAGGGACGCTAGAGCTGTGCTTGAGTAAGGATAGGGGAAATTCTTTATCTGATTTTCCTGCATTGATAAAATAAAAATACATAATAAATAACAAGAAAAAACAGCTAATACGAAAACAAAGGAAATAAAGAAACCTAACCTGAACTATAAACCATAATGAGTACGAGACGCAACCACCCAATGATAGCATGCATCCCCACAAAAAACTTTCAGAACTTTTGTGTGGCTCTGGCTCTCCATGAGTGTGGAGAAGATCAACATGCGTTGACCACACGTTGATCTCTTTGCCTCTGTAGAGGTTGAACACCATAGCTCCTCCCATGCCCATAACTATTCCAATAATTTTAACTTTACCGGGAGTAGTTTGTAGGGACAATTTCTCTAACCTGAAATATAAAATTAAATTAGGCACAGTTCTTTCTTGCACAATGCAAATTAATTAAACATTATCCAAATCATGAGCTTTGCTAGGATATTACCTGAAAATTACCGCTAGGATACAGGTGATGGCCGGCACCAGATTTAACATAGCAACTGTATATGTTGGTGATGTTAAAGACAGGCTCTCAATGTATAAGTTTGTTGACAACGAACCCCTGAAATAAATAAGGAGATGTTGTAAATTTGGCTGACATGAAGAAAAGTCCATGTAACTCCTATATTCTAGACATAAACCTACCATATTTGTACCTAATTTACCTAGATTTTATAAATAATTATTTACATATACAATTTACATACTACTAATATACTTAGGCCCCGTTTGGGATTGCTTTTTTTGGCAAAAAACTTGCTTTACTTTAAAGTTAAGCAGTTTAAGGTGTTTGGTAAAAAGAAAATATCCCGATTATTTTAAAAGCAATGGCCTTTTGACAGCAGCTTTTAAAAGCAGGCTCTTGGTTGCTTTTCAAAGCTGCTTTTAAAAGAAGCAGAGATGAACATTTAATGAATTTTTTTAATTCCCAAAATACCATCATTCATTTTAAAAAATGAC